GGAGCAGGGAGCCCGATGCGGGGCTCGATCCCAGGACCCTGGGATCATGACCTGAGCCGAAGGCAGACGCTTAACGACTGAGCCACCCAGGCGCCCCAATAAGTTATTAATTTTATGTCCAGTTATCCATAAGGTATTTTTACTTCAAAAAATCTACCTTATTTCCCAAAGATCTAAATCACTCAAGATGTACTCTGTCTTCTCTGTGTTGCTCCCAAGAGTTAAAACTAAAATCTGTTAATAAATTTCACCAAAAAGAAGTTAATATTGGAACAGACAGGGCCTGTTACCATACAATGAACATGTGGAAGAGGATACCAGTGCCAAGTACTCAAGTGTCATTTTACAAAAAGTCAATTAAAATGGCACTGAAGGCAAACTCACAGAAACAGAGTAGAAAGGCAGATGGGATACCAGGGTCTGGGGGAGGCAGCAATCCGGAGATGTTGGTCAAAGGTTACAAGGTTTCAATTATGCAAGATGAATCAATTCTGGAGAACTGGTGTTCATCAGTGTGACTATAGCTGACAATATTATATTGTTTTTGAAATTTGCTTAGAAGAGAGACTTTGGGTGTTCTTACCACACACACACACATGCACACACACACACACACACACGGAAAATGGTAAAGGTGTGAGGTAAGATATGTTTATTGACTTGGTTGTGAACATTTCATAATGTGTATGTATAATGAGTCATCAGGTTGTACATTTTAAATATATACAGGTTTTTTACGATTTTATTTTTAAGTAATCTCTACCCCCAATGTGGGTCTCGAACTCATCACCCCGAGATCAAGAGTCGCACACTCTACAGAATGAGCCAGCCAGGCACCCCTAAATATATACAATTTTTTGGTGATCAATTACACTTCAATAAACCTGGGGGGAAAAGGCCATTAAAAAATCCATTAATGCCTTTCTGTTATACTCAAGACAAAATAACACTAAGTACCAGTCATGAATATTTCTGTCAGGTGGGCAAAAATGGTAGAAAGTAGGTTATAACTGAAGCTAATTATGAACTGGCACCAAGAAGAAAGAATGCTTAAGACATAACTAATATCCATTTGTTACCCAACTGAGTAAATAAAACCAAGAAAAGAAAATTAGCAGGAAGAACATGAATTTCTTATCACAGATAATATCAAAGAGAAGCCAGACATGCACTCCAATGTTGACAGCAGCATTATCAACAACAGCCAAATTACGGAAGCAGTGTCCATTAACAGATGAATGGATAAAGAAGATGGGGCATATATATATATATATACAATGGAATATTACTCAGCCATCGAAAAGAATGAAATCTTGCCATTTGCAACAATGTGGATGAAGCTAGTGAGTATAATGCTAAGCAAAATAAGTCAGTTAGAGAAAGACAAATACCATATGACTTCACTCCTATGTGAAATTTAACAAGCAAAGGGAAAAGACAGAGAGCGAGAGACGAACCAAGAAACAGACTCCTAACCACAGAGAACACACTGATGGTAACAGAGGGGAGGGGTGTGGGGGGATGGGTGAACGAGGTGGCGGGATGAAGGAGGACATTTGTTGTGATGAGCACAGGGTGATGTATGGAAGTGCTGAATCCCTATATTGCACACCTGAAACTAATGTAGCACTGTATGTTAACTAACTGGAATTTAAATAAAAACTTAAAAAAAAAAAAGAAGCTGGAAGACAAACGAAGAAACCAGGAATGGCAGCTGTAGTGAGCAGCAAGCTGTCTTGTCGAAGGTACAAACTGTGTCATCCCTTTGGTCTGTGTGGCAGCTGTGGTAGTGGTTGGATAAAAATACATGAATTCTGAAATCTTATTTCCTACATTATGCCAAAATGATCTTTCTGAAATGTAAGTATGATCCTGAGAATAAAAAAAGGAAAAAAATTACAAAAATCACCTTATTTATACTATACACATAGTATTCTTTTTTTTTTTTTTAAAGATTTTATTTATTTATTTGACAGAGAGAGAGACACAGCGAGAGAGGGAACACAAGCAGGCGGAGCGGGAGAGGGAGAAGCAGGCTTCCGGCGGAGCAGGGAGCCCGATGTGGGGCTCGATCCCAGGATCCTGGGATCATGACCTGAGCCCAAGGCAGACGCTTAATGACTGAGCCACCCAGGCGCCCCTACACATAGTATTCTATGACATACCAACTCACTGATTAAAAGGTAATTAACAGTTTATTAAATGCTTCCTTCTCCTTAAAAATAAAGTTTGAGTTGTCATCTTATTTTCTTGAGGAGGTATTTGGGGAAAACTTCCCAAAATGTCCTTCTCTGACATCTCCATGTGTCAAAAAACTACCCTTCAGGACTGCATACCAATGCTGCCTCCCGCCATGCAGCCCTTCTTGACTACCCCCACTGGGGAAGCCATCTCTATTTCCCTCCGGTTTCTACCTTGAATTGTATGCACTTATGTAAGCTCCCTTAGCTGACTGAACTTCCCTGAGGAGGATCTATGTTTGATGCTCTCCCATCAGCACCAGCACTATACAGTGCGTGTACTGAGGCTCAAAACATATTTGCTGAAGAAACTATGTGTTTTTGAGGCTAGCCACCACCAGGTTTGTCCATTTAGAGGGTTGAATTCTAGTCCCAGTGCTGGCCTTCTCTGCAGGACAGCTATTTTTTCATTTCTGGGTCTCAGTTACCTCCTCTGTAAAATGAGGAAGCTGGACAATATGGTCCCCTAAACTTCTAACTTTAAAATGCTATGCTTCTGGGGCAGTTAATTTGCCCTGAGAGTAAAACTGGGGTGGTAGAGAACAAAGAAGTGTCCAAAACTTAAGTGGTGTAGCAGGTGGACACAAGATACAGATAAACACTTTACGGAATGCATATACCTTAGTGTGTCTTTCTTCAAGGCAAATTTAAACCTGGACAATTCTTTGAAGAGCCCCCACATGATACCCCAGAATTGACTGAGGACCCTCCAGAATTGGGGCAAGATTCTTGTCAAGCTAAACAGGCTAGAAAAATCCAGGGTTTACTGATCTGCTCAAGAGTATTTTCTGAGCTCCTACTATGTGCCAGGTCTCCTGCTAAGGGTGAGGGCACAGCAGTGAGCAAGCCAGACAAGGTCCCTGCTCTGTGAAAGCTGGCATTCTTCTGGTCATTTGGGGATAGACAACAGATTCCTGTGGATGTTCACCTTCCTCATTTCTGGGCTCTGGCATGTGATCTTTCCCTTCCCATGAACACCCCTGCCCTCACACTGCCTTCTCTCAGGTCCCCCTTTCCCTGGCTAATGCCTCCTCATCCTCCTGGAGACTGCACTTCTCAGGCGGCCTGGCTATCTCAGGGCCCTTGTTCTCCAGTCGTAATCCACACTGCCACTCTGTAACCCCGTTACGGCCACGACTGCGTGTATACTTGTGTGATTATTTGATTCTGTGTCTTCCTCTCTGTAGTGGGAGACCCAGGTCAGCGTCTTGATTTACTTTTCTAGCTAAGTCCTACAGCACAGTTTACAAAGGGAGGAACAACCCTTGATTTAAAAAAACAAAAACCAAGGTACAGCTTACACCTTGGTCCTTGCCTGTGCAACACCGCTGTACACATAAGGCCTCCACTGCAGTGGGAAACAGGACAGTGTAGGCACACGGGTGCTTCATGCCTACTGGCTGCTATTACTACCGGCCACTGAGTCATCAACAACATGCTAAGTCTGAAATGTTAGACTACCATAGCCCACATGGTAAGAAAGCCAAAGTAAATAGTAAACATCAAGAGCAGGTGATAAATGAGATTTTAGACCTAAATTTCCTTTGGGTGGAAGAGCCTCAAAGCTCAGCTTTACCTTTTTTTTTTTCCCCTCATTCTCTGGTTCTTGGAAGCAACAATTCATGCTGCTTTTGGAAATCCCACATAGATTCTGAATCAGCATACTAAGAAGGACGTGGTCTAAGAATGCTAACTGATTCCCACAGGAACTAGTGAAGACAAATGGAAGACCCTTCCGTGTGACCTCTTCACTGTCATGGTGCCCAGGTGCATAAAGTCAAGCACTTGGAACGCTTCATTTTTGGTGGTGGCTATTTTTAATTCTGGGAAAGGGTAACAATGGGCTTTGACAGGGTGGGGGTAAGATTAGCTCCTACACTCACGTGGTGTCGTCCCAGCGCTGCAGGCACTGGCTGTGGAAGCTGTGGTTACATAACGTGGTGAGGATGCCGTTCACGGACTCGTCCATGCGCTCCAGACACACTGTGCACTTGGGGAGCTCGGTCAGGTCCATCACGGGGAGGCTGGCACCCTGCAGGGAAACACTTCACATAAGCTTCACTCTTCATCCACGGTTCTAATATATGTTTTTAACACTAGCTTTCCTGCTGCTTTTTGACTCTTGGTACGATGCTCTCAACATTTTTGATCTGTGCAAATAATTTAAATTGGTAAGATGTTCATCCATACAACAAATATTGACTGAGCACCTTCTATATTCCCAGCGCTGTGCAAGGCACTGGGGATAGGCTGGCGAAGAAGCCAACAAAGATACTTGCCCTCACGGAGCTGATACTCTGGAAGGGGAGACTGCTACCAAAAGCTTAACAGAGAATAAAAAAAAAAACCCCAGAGAACCAAAGCGTTACCAGACTCCTGGCTCTACTTTTAAGGCTCTGTAACTGTAACAGAACACGAATGAATAAAAGCAGAACAGGAATGGAACAGAATGATTTTTCCACAGAGTAAGTTAAAACTTAATGCTTCCTATTAAGTGACAATAGTATCAACAACACTGATTTATTCATTCATTTAACACACACTTATTGAGTCCTTACTATGTGTGCCAGACACCGTTCTAGGTGTAGCACAATGGTGAGCAAAGCAGATGCGCTAAGTCCGAAACAACTGAGGGCCTTGTCCTCACAGAGCTTATAATCTGCTAGAGAGAGGCGAAAGTCAAATTTTTTAAATTACCAGTGGTCATAAGTGCTATGAAAGAAAAGTATAGGAAGCTATAACAGGGTGGTCAAGAAAGGAACCCCCTGCACCACCCCCGGGACAGTGACGTCTGACTTGAGCCCTGCCAGCTGTAAAATGAGCAGGAATTACTGACGCGAAGGTGGGGAGGTATGCACACAAGGACATGCTGAGAAAAATCACATTTATCTATGGTCCCTGAAGAGTAGCTTTTCACAGGCACTCTTTCAAGAAGCCATGTTCATTTAGAGAAAAGAATCTCTAAAACTGGCATAAAGGAAGCCTGATTTTATCATTTGTCAATTTTTATTTTACCTAATCTAATGATAGAACAATCAAATGAGAACTTATTTCCATCAAGCTGATTTCAAAGCAAAAAGACCTTTAGGTCTACTTTAAAATACAGAAAATCTTAAAAATATAACAGAGCTGAATCTCCTACTTTATAAAATGATTTAAGTGAACACATTTTGTAGGAAAAGGTCCCACAGAAGGTGGCAAATCAGAGCAATTACAGATTGTTATCCAAACAGAATTAAAAATTAGGACAGGGAGTAAGGGTTGATATTTAAAGTAAAAATGCTTCTTTTAGGTTCCAGACCATGTTTCATGGATCTGGAATAGATGAACACTCAATTTCGATAACACAGATAATTTTTTTTTTAATATTTTGGGATACTTTTCAAAAATTGAGATAAAATTCATTTAATATAAAACCTGCCATGTTTAACTATACAATTCAGTGGGTTTTAATATATTCACAAGGTTGTACAACCCTCACCACTAATTCTAGAACATCCCTATCACCCCAAAAAGAAATCTCGTCCTCACTGCAGTCACTCCTCATTCCTCTCGTCCCCTAGCCCCTGGCAACCACTAATCTCCCTTCTGTCTCGATGGATTGGCATACTCTGGACATTTCCACAGATAAATCTTAACATTCAACCTTATGACATTCACAAGAATGATGCACACTTACATCTTCAGATTTCAGTACTTCAGCCCTTTCCACATACACCAGCTGGCAAACATCATCTTCTATGGAGTTGAACTGGCGGCCATTGCACGCCATATAAAAACTATCTGCATCGGCCTAGGTATACCAATGGATAAAAGGAAAAAATTGAGAGAAATATCCTGAAAATATGCTTTTTATTCAAGATGCATAGCTTCAATTATTCTCTTCATCAGCATTTAAAATTTATAATTAGAGGAGAGAAAGCAACTGCCAAAAGTACCATCTAGGGAAGCAGGTTCATTAGGTGAGTCAAACTCTGCAAGTCAATATCCTGCATCTCTACAATGTTTCCTGATCCATGACAGTCTCACTTAAACCAGCAGAAGCTGCCCAACTGCAATAAGCTGACAGCCAATACGACTTTAGTATTCAACCAGCAATGGTCATCAGTTCCCTTGATATCAATATTTTTTTCCTTGAATCAGCACTTTCTCAGCAGCTGAAAGCAAACACTTATTTTTGCAAAGCTTAGAACTCAATCATAACGGACAATTGTTAGGGATGATTTCTTTTTAAAAAACATCAGCATCTATGTTAGAGAGAATAATGGACTAGAGGTACTGGTATGGAGTGAAAAGCCAACTCCTTTTCTTCAATAAACCAAATAATAATAATAATATATCACAGATAAGGAGGTTTTAAACAACCTAGTAATATCGAAAGCAAAACCCTTGGCCAAGATCAAGAGGTCCAAGATGAACCAGTCTTTAAAATACTAATGGTCTTGTTCCTTGGAGTAGAAAATAAGAGTCAGGGGAAACAGTCCCCTGTAGATAAAACTGAAAGTTCACCTGTGCATTTGTGAATATGAACACAAGTAAATCCAACCTTTTAGTACAGCCTTAGTAGAAAGTGTTAACAAAGAGATGATTCCAGTTTTTAAACTTGGCAATTTTGAGGGGCAGCTGGGAGGCCAAGGTTTGTCTAGATTTCACTCCCACATGGACATTAACCCAAACACAGGAAGTTGTGTGCTTTGGCCCTACGAACGTATACAAGCTGCATGGAGGGAGGAAGGGTGTTCTGTAAAAGGATATGCCACATTGTCAACCTCTAGAAGAGTTTCAAGTCCGTCCAGGTAAAAAAAATAGTCTTTCTTGTCTACCCTCATAGGATTCTGAACCTTACAGCAAAATCTTGTGAGCTTCTCAGTAGCTTTGAATTTCACTCCAATGATATAATTCAAGTGTGGATTCTTGATTATTTATATTTTCTCAATATGACCAAATGAGCTAAGCAGCTGAGGAAAGATGATCAATTCTGAACCCAATTTTGTTTTGTTTCGGAGGGTGGGGGCGGGGGCTTCCTTTTCAGGAAACAACCTGTATTGGGTATAGTGTATTTTAACTTCAAACTGTTAAGAGCCAGTTAATAAATCTCTTTAATACTAAGAGGAGGCAAACTAAATTGGCTTCCCCCATTCTTCAAGAGCAATGTCTTTTTCTTGAAATGCTTTGGGTGAGTAAGCAGCACAGTGAGCAAATGGATTTGTGTACTGAGGAAGTGACCACCCGGAAGGAGGGCCACCAAGAGCTGGCTGCACCTGTGGCGGCTGAGGAGAGGCCGTCCCCTCCTCAGACCTCCAGCTCTGTAAATGCTTGCTAAGCAAGCACACTTCCTCAGAGGAAGGGACAAAGTCTGTGATTCTGAGCAGATGACAGAATCTACTCAACACCAGATAAATGGCTCTTTTCTTGGGGGAGTTGTTTATCTATGACAAAGAAATGTATTTTTTGAACACATGGATCTCTGTCTTTAAAATCTCTGTATTGGAAATGTAGCTTGTCTGAATATTTACTGAGCACCCAGCATCTGCCAGGCACTGTGCTATGCGCTAGGACTAGAGGACAGAACAAAATACACATGGTTCCTACTTCAACCCACTACTGAAATGCACAAAACAAAAGCCTGAAGCTAACTGCAAAAACACAGAACAGCTCTTTTATTTAAAATGCTTGCATTGTATAGGGCCCAACATTTTAAGAAACACTGCTTTTTTTTTTTTTTTTGAGTCTTTTGTTCTAATTGTCCTCTTCCCAGGATAAACTCAGAAAAAGAAAAATCCATTATGATCAATGTTCCTTTATTGTCACAGTGATCAACTATAGTGTCGAGAACATGTTTTTACTTCTCAAAAGAGGGTCTCCTGGCCTGTCCTAAGCGCGAGTGACTCAAGGAACTACTTGAGTCACTGAACCCCCTCCTCCCTTCTTGTGTCCCGATGAATTATAATTCCTTACCCAAAGACTAAGTTTCCTGAGGGTCACAGTACAACTGTGTAGTATCACATTAGAACACATACAGCACTGGGGCGCCTGGGTGGCTCAGTCTTTAAGCATCTGCCTTCGGCTCAGGTCATGATCCCAGGGTCCTGGGATCGAGCCCCGCATCGGGTTCCCTGCTCAGCGGGAAGCCTGCTTCTCCCTCTCCCACTCCCCCTGCTTGTGTTCCCTCTCTCGCTGTGTGTCTCTGTCAAATAAATAAAATCTTAAAAAAAAACAAAAACAAAAAATGAAAACCCACCTACAGCATAAAGCTAAGGCCAACAGAAATTCCAGAGCTTATAGGAGATACAGAGGATTACTCTTTATAAAAATTGCCTGGTGAAAAAAAGAAAGGAAAAAGAATATGGTCAGCTGCCAAGGCTATGGAGTCAGGCTGCATGGGTTTGAAATTTAATTCAAACACTTATTAGTTGTGTGGCTTTGGGCAAGTGACTTATCCATGCTTGTTTCCTCAATTATAAAAGTGAAAGTAACACCACCTACCTCACGGCATTGTTGAGAAGACTCAAAGAGCCAACGCATGAAAAGCACTTAACAGGCCTGGCATCTAGTAAGTGCTCAATAGTTGGTACCTATTTGAGCCTATTTTTTTTTTTCATTAGGGCCCAGTATTAACAACTTCAAGTCTTATACTAGGAGGGTGTTTTTAGACCTTAGAAAATCGGACAGGATAAGCCTCAGACCCTAAGATCCAGCATTAGCAATAAATAAGACAACTCATGATTCCCAGGTCAAGGGTTCTATTCCCATGGGGAAGAGCTAGCAGACTGTTTCATAGTCTCAAAACTAACATCCATGAACCTGTACAACCTGCATTTGGTCAAAAGACAGGAGGTGGAGAGACTGCAGAAAAAGCCATTAACAGTAATAGAAAAGTCCCGCAGCATTACCTGCACACTATGAAGGGTGGCCCTTGGTACAGTTTGTGGGTTTAGCAGACTTTAGACTATTTAAAAAGTCTAAACATTTTTCCCCAATCTGTTTTTTTATTTAAATTCAATTAGTGAACTTATAATACATCATTAGTTTTTGATGTAATGTTCAATGATTCATTATCCCCAATCTGTTTCAGTGACTTTTCCTGTGTCACTTGCCGACTGCCCTTAACTGTTAAGTAGAAACTATAACTGAAATATTGCCATTACACAATTTCTTGCCAAGTGATTATCTCCCACACTTTTATCCACTCCTACTGGAAGAAGAGTATGCCCTAGGATTAAAAGTGAGGGCTCAAATCCCAGCTCAGTCACTGAGGGCAAATCACTAACCTCTCTGCAGTCAGTTTCCTCATTTGTAAAACAAGGATAATAACAGTACTTACTTCAAAGGGTTTTGGTGAGGACTACATGAGATAATGCACATTAAGCACTTAGCAGAGAGTGGTATAGCATAAGCAGTCAGTAAGATTGCAAATTATCATCATTATCCTTGATATTACATGTGCTACCAGATTTAAAAGGTACCACTTGCCCAATGTTTGCAAAGCTCCTCAGTGACCTTGGAAGGTCTCCTGACAGTTAGTGAACACAGCTGTTTAAGTGCTTTTCCACTCTAATTGTCAACGTGTGAAGTCTAAGTCTGCGTGCAGGAAAGTTCAAACATATTTTAAATGTCTCATCTCAATGGCAGGGTATTTTGTAAAGGTTAAAGATAACAATCGTGTACCCTCTTGGACACAGAACACTACACTAAGGGTTCCCTTTCTGTGGCCCATGGAATAGGCACAAACATAATCCAACTCTCACTTCTCTTAATTTCCTCCCCCTGGCCAACGAATGACTGCTATTGCTGTCAACTCTGGATTTCTGCAAGGAGGAAGGAGATGACAAGTGGGCCTCGTGTCATGGGCTCCCTTTCACCCACAAATTTTGGTAACAGGTCAGAGGCAATGGCAAATGATCTAAAGGCACACCCACTCTTTGCCAATCTGCAAGCTAGAACTGCTTATCTGGGCCAAATTCAGGAAGGCTGTTTACCAAGGAGGTGAGAAAGAAGTAACTTTTGACAAAGCTGCATTTCAAAACCTAATGAATGGACAAATAAAACAGGCCATTAAAAACACAAAACCAACCAAAAAACCCACAACAAACCAAAACCTACAGATAGGATGGCTCTTTAACAATCTGGGTAATAGCTAAAGCTTACCTCACTCTTATACTCATACAGAAATATGTGTATTATTAAGAATGAATATGTAAAACCAAGAGACTACCTTCCTAACATCTTTAGAACTGAGGCACATGGAAGATGCTGCTTAATGTGACAAGTGAAATGAAGCCAATGTCAAAACTTTCTTAAATCAAAAAGTATCTGTAATAATATGCAACTAATTTTTAAAACTGAAAATATCACCATCCTTTCACTGTTTCTGTCTCTCTGTTGCAGTGATTTCCAATCAGAACTCTTAAAGCATCTTTGATACTTCAAGGAACGCCCCCAAATCCCTCATCACCAAAATTAAAAGTATTAAACAGATCTTATTCTCTAAAATGTGCCAAGGAATGTCTTTTAAAAAGAGAATGAAAGAAGCAGGAGCACAGTGTTATAAGGACAGATGATAATACGGTGTCAATTTCAAAAAGTTTGGGGACTACTACTCTACTGGAATAGTTACTACTGGATAACCAAATACACACAACCCTAGATTTCATACCCAATCCACTTTATAAAAACATCATGGGTACGAGTTAGCATTGTGTGTCTGCTAACGAATTTAGAAAGATTTCTAGAATTACAATACCCTAGAAGACAGGTATATCAAGAATCTTAAGTGCAAAATGTAAATCACACACAGCTAGCATCACACAGTTTCAAAAACACAGTTTCTGTGGCAAAGAGATTTTTAATATCTTAACTTTTACCTGTGCACTAAACTTTATCAGCACCATATATTGATTTGGAGTAGAGTCTCTGATGATTTTCATTTGTTCAATTACTTCATTAAATGGGGCGACAAACTTCATAAGGTCATGACTGGTCATTGTAGCAGGGACTGTGAGAATACACAGCATGGCACTGCGCCTCACATCTTCTTTTAAGGAGGTCATCTTACTAATAAGACAATAATTAGACTGTCTTGAATGGATGAGGTATGGTTAGTTCAGACAACACTAATTAGACAACTTTTATGTCCAATAGAAAAAAAAAACCTTGTTATACTTCACAGATTGATTTATACAGTGTTATAATACCTGAAAACCCACACGACCTGACTAATGCAGAATACCTTCAACATGTCTGCAACAGAGCTTAAGGCAAGCTGTCCAACAGTCTCGATTACACCCACCACTGAAATTTTACTGAAATATTTAACCTTCAGTTAAAGGCTTACTACAGTTATAAATCAGTGGTTTGTTTTATTCTCATTAGCTTTTTAATAATAAATTCTCATTAGATAACTCAGAAGCACAACTCTATGTTTTTACTTTTTTTTTGCCCTTAAGTTTTAAAATCACTATTCTGGAAGTTAAAGAAAACTGCCCCCACAAAGGCAGAGAGGCAGCCACAGTATGACTCAATCTACAAGTTAATGGGCAACTCTAACTATGCACTTCTCTCAAGGGGTCTAGAAGAGGAGTGTTCTAAATATAAGAAAGAGAATTCAGAACTATGAAGATGTGATTCTGAAGATTACAGAAAGTGCTGTTGGGTTAGAATAGCTGGAATAGAGGAAAAAGAAAAAACTTCCCACAATCCAATTTGCTTTTGAAATGCTGCAAACTTACTTCAACAGGTGTGATCCCAAAAGGCGACCTGAGTATTCACTGTTTCCCAGTGGGGACCTAGCAAACACGTTAGGAGGATAGGCTTTAAAGAGATCAGCTACCAATTATCCAAGGGGCTGAAGACCCAGCTTATAGATTATCCAGCCAAATGCTTCCTTCCTTTGGCTTCTTTTAAGTTTTGTGTGGACCACAAAAAAGATTAGAAGAGATGATGAAATTGTAGTCCATTAACAGACTTAACAGCTTTTTTAGTAAAGATCTGAGGGGATATGAGACTGCAATGATGTTATGAATCATTTATAATTTTTTTTTCCTTTTTATCTTCCTTCCTTTTAATTTTCCAATCATCTTGCATGCCTACCTTCTCAGGGAATATTTTCTTAGGTATTTTCTCAGTGTATCTACATGTTTCTTTTCTAAGAAGCTTTGACCCAATCTCTAAGATTAACCAAATATAAAACATCTAAGAATTCTCTAACATACAATATATGAAAAGTATTATCCTTCTGAAGCTTAAAATATCCACTGCTCCTCAGGGCAAGAAATATTTCACTGCCCTGAGACAAAAAAACAGACCAGTTCAAAAGGAAAGGGTTTTTCTTACTTTGTCTTGTATAGATGCATAATACCATGAACTATTTCAACTGATGGGTTTCCACTAAAGAACGAAATCTGGTCTGGAAGCTGTTTGGATGGAGAATCGGGAGCAGCATTTATGCATTCTATACTTTGATCTTTACTCTTCTGTGCAGTGGGAGATGCTTCTGAAGACTTCCTTTCTTCCACTGTGGCTTTCAGGTCATCTTTCACAAATCAAAAAATTAGCAGATTATAAACTGATAGGAAATATGTGGAAGGATTCTAATTAGGTTAAAATTTTAAGTCAGAAAAATAAACTTCAACAGAGAAATTGTAATGTATTGCATTAAGAACCATATTTACAGAACAGCCAAGTTTTAAGGGCATCTAAACTTGAAAGCAATCTTTGTCTCATAAAAATTTCAATAATACCCACAGAAACTTAAGGATGGCTCTTATATTTGGCAGTACCATAATAAAAGCAGATGTCTTCCATCATGTACTCTTAAATGGGACACTCAGGGCTATTAACTTGGAAAACCAAACCTACCAGTTCTAATCACCTCCACGCTGGAGATATACTACACAACCAGGCTCTCGGTTGGAGTGAGCTGGAAGTGTGTGTATGGGTGGGGTGGGGGGAGGACGGCGGAGACACAACATGCTCATCTGGATTTATTCGTGATCTGCCACTAACCTAGATGGTAAGTAGCTCTCCTCACTGAATAAAGCTGTCGACCCACCTAGTTAGTATTAATTTAGGAGAAATATTTGGAGACGCTGAAGTGTGGCTTGACAACCTCATGTAAGGCACACAGGTAGTGAAAGATAAAAGTATGTTAGAGGTCAAAATCATGGGCTCATGGAATAACATGTGTAAGACAGGTAACCAGGGGCTTATGTTACATGAGTCTGGGGTTTTAGAAGCATACCTGGATTGGACTTCATGGTCTCAATAATCATATCCGTCATTTCTCGACGGCCAAGATGCTGATGTATGATTGCTGCTTTCTCCCCTGGTGACTTCCCTTCTAAAGAGGCTATAGCTGAGGCTAATGTCTTCTTTTTGATCTCCTCATCAGACATTTCCCCAGCTAAGGAACACATGAATGATTAATATCTGATAATAAAACAAGTTCTCCACTTTCAATGTATCCATCGATAAGCTTCCCTTTTCTCTCTGCTGCCCTCCTCCAAGATAATATGATGCCTTTGCATCTCTCACTCACCTCTGTGGCTCCTCAGTGCCCAGCAGATAGTCAATAAACACTCAGTGCAATAAATTCAGAAATGCAGGGTTGTTCTAGTGAAATCATGCGTTTTAAAGCAAATCAATGAGAATAAGAGCTTTAGAGAAGGTTCAACAGTGATTATGTCCGTATTGAACCAACATTTTAAGTAATCTCTGGTAAAGTGAGACTGTGTTGAGATCCAAATGAAGGTCTCGGGTCCATTAATAAAAATTCAAAAACCTTTAGCAGTAGTCTTCTTAAACACCCTGGGTTAGCCTCATGCCATGAATCATACCATGAAAATCTGTGATCACAGTCTTAAATCAATGAAACACACAAAAATGGAAAAGGAACTTGGAGACTCGATTGAAATACTCTTAATGTAAGTTCTATCAGAGCAGGAACCAAGCCTGTTTTGCCCACCACTGTATCCCTAGCACTTACACCACAGTGCCTAGCACACCCTGGAAGGTCTTCAGTAAATCAAGGACTGACCTGTGTAGAGGTGTATTCATGCCTAATGTCAATTTAGCTGACTTTCACAACTTAGGGATCACTTGTAGTTTTTGAAAGGTGCTTGTAACCCATTAAATCATATTCAATTTTTAATCTGCAGCTCCAAAATTCACACACTCAGGGGAGTTTCTTTTCTTTTTAAATTTTTTTTTTCAAGATTTTATCCATTTATTAAACAGAGAGAGACAAAGTGAGAGAAGGAACACAAGCAGGGGGAGTGGGAGAGGGAGAAGCAGGCCTCCCACTGAGCAGGGAGCCCAATGAGGGCCCAATCCCAGGACCCGGGGATCATGACCTGAGCAGAAGGCAGAGCGGGAGGCAGACGCTTAACGACTGAGCCACCCAGGCCCCCCTCAGGGGATTTTCTAAGGACACCATCTCTACCTGCCCCAGGCCCCCTCCCCAAACCAAAAATATCCTCGTGATAGCTTTCCAAACTCTTCCTTTCCTTCACAGCTCTTTTCATGGATGTAATTCCACATTTATTCTGTAATTATTTAAATCACCTGTCTACCTCATTGAGCTGCCGGTGCCATTAAAGCCGGGACCATGTCTGATTCTGCAAACAACTAAAGTTCCAGCAGAGAGTGAGCATTCAGTAATTACTTCTTGAATAAATGTTACTGTTAGGAAATTGCTTAAGGTCCAAGGAACACAGTCATAGCTGCATTCCCCATGAAGGAGGCTGTGTGTGGCTGGTAATGAACAGCTCAGACTCTCAAGTCTAGCTCTGAGTTAGAATCCCAGTGTCACCACTTACAGGACAATCGTGGGCAAGTCATTTAATCACTGGGCTTCAGTTTCCTAACCTGTAAAAGGCGCGTACATTTACTTAACAGGGTTCTTGCGAAGATAATTAAAGAAGATAATACACACGGGGCACCTGGGTGGCTCAGTTGTTAAGCATCTGCTTTCGGCTCAGGTCATGATCCCGGAGTCCTGGGATCGAGCCCCGAGTCAGGCTCCCTGCTCAGCTGGGAAGCCTGCTTCTCCCTCTCCCACTCCCCCTGCTAGTGTTCCCTCTCTCGCTATCTCTGTCAATAAATAAATAAATAAGATCTTTAAAAAAAAAAAAGAATACACACAAAGTGTTTAGTACAGTGCTGCGACACAGGAAGTGTACAAACTTTAGCTATAGTTACTACTGTAGTTGCAGGGCGCCTAAACAGAAATTCTTCCAAAGAGGAACGATTTAATTAAACCACGAACCGTCAGCATCTCTGGGATCCAGTCGCTGCCCTCACAAAGCCTGGAGGAGAGCAACTTACACAACTTGACTCTAACCCAGGGTGGAGAGGGCGACGCGCCAGGTATAAACAATGTGCCCGTGGGAAGGCACAAGGAGGGAGGGACCGGGAAGGGCTTCCCAGAGATGACATCCGAGAGGCCTATTTAGGATGGACGGAATGAGACCAATCTCAACCACCTCTCAGCTTCTTCCTGACACAAAGGCCCTCGCCGCCGCCTTTCCCCGGGCGCGTACTTTGGGAGGGCGAGCCTCCCGGGCCCAGGCGCGGGGCCAGACGCAAGGCTGCGAGGCCGCGGGACTCACCGGCGGCGCTGAAGCCGAAGCCGGAGGGGACGGACGAGTGTTCCGCAAGCTCCAGTCGGATGACAACCAGTGACACACTCATAGGGCAGGCGCTGGCCGGCGCGGGCCCCGGCGGGCTCAGGCGAGGCTGGAAGGCGAGCTAAGAGGCCGAGCGGCCCAGGGTCGGCAGCGCTGCCACCGCCTCAGCGCCGCCGCCGCTGCCTCGGTAGCAGCAGCTCCGCGCGCAACCCTGCGAGCCACAACAACCCTCACTTCCGCCTCCCGGCCGCCGTCGTCGACCCTCGAGGTTACGCGTGCGCGGAGCAGCGCGCGCTCCGATTGGATAGGGTGGCGGCCACGTGACTGGTGTAAGGACGCCGAGGTGAGTCTGCGCTCCCCGGACGGAAATCTTGAGGAGGTCGGGGAGGAGGAAGCTTACGGAGATTGCAGGCGCCGGGTGCCCTCTTAGGCCGATCGGTGGGTTTGCGCCCGGGCCCGAGTTTACCTCTCTCAGAGGCCTTACCCTCAGGCTGCCTCCCGACGGCGAGGGGTCTCCGGGTCGGCGAGGTCTCCGAATTGTCCGAGGAACCGTGCCCTGTGGCGAGCTCTTGCCCCTTTGTTGTGTTTGACCCCTCGCTCTAGCGCTGGAGGGGTTGCTTTGTGTTAGCCACACTTTACAGATAGGTACGCCAAAGCGCAGAGAGGTGTCTTCGCCTCTCTGAAGGCCCTTGAGGAACAGGGACTCGATGGCAGTGTTTCTGACGATGTCGAGGTAGGGCGGTGGGCTGGTTAAGCGCACGGTGTCGGGAGTTAAATCTGGGCCCTGCTCCCGGCTCCGTAAGTTCACAAATGTTTACTGCGAGCCTAAGCACTGTTGGGGTGGTGGGGATATTTTCGTGAATGAGATAAGCACACAGTTCCTGCTCTAATGGTTCCTGCTCTAATGGAGTCGACCTTGATCGGTTGTGTGACCTTGAGCTAGGTTTTTTTACATAAAAGTGGGATAATATACAGCCATGGGCATGAAATAGAGCCTGTGGCTCTACATATATCATTTTTTCTTAGATTCAGCTTTCTTTCCAGTATGTCAGACTGCTTTTAGCATATAGAGAGCCACAGTCAATACCTAAATGTCGCACACATGACAGGATGCTATTCCAAGCATATGCTATAAGGATTTCTAGGATGCGTCACAGCACATCCTGGACTACATATGCATATAACATAACCACATGCTATATGTGTATATAGCTTGTGACTGCATCTTATGAAATATGTTTCAATACACACTGTTTATATCTCCCAAGTGGTGACAACCAAAAATGTACCCAGACCTTGCCAAATGTCCCCTTGGGACCAAAGTCACACCCCGTTGAGAATCGCTGATGCATATGCCATATTCACATAGTATATGCATATAACCTATGAGACCTCATGAACTTTTTATAGTATACTACAATAGTAGATAACATTTTTATTTCTCTTTTCTTTCTTTTTTTTTTTTTAGAGAAGGAGTGGGGAGCATAGGGAGAGCGAGAGAGAGAATCTTAAGCAGGCTCCACGCCCAGCAGCAGAGCGCGACGCAGGGCTTGATCTCACAACCCTGAGATTGTGACCTGAGCTGAAATCAAGAGTCAGATGCTAAACAACTAAGCCACCCACGTGCCCCAGTAGTAGATAACATTTAATAGTGTGCCAGGTACTAACTTGAGTGCTTTACATACTTTATTTCATGTAATAGTAACAACTTTATGAGACTGGTATATAATTATTCCCATTTACAGAGGGAGGAAGAACCTGAGTCTCAGAGAAACTTGCTCAGGATCTCACACTTAGTAAGTGGCAGAGCTAGAATTCAAACCCAAGCAATCTGATTCCAGAGCCACACTCAACCTTTTTACTAAACCATCTT